GTAGGGTCTCTATCATATATAATCTCTGCCTTAATCAACCATATCCTCAACATCCCTCACCCACTGGAAAATATCACAGAACACATGTCGATCCCACCAACACAATCCATATTTCAGCATGTAGAACTTCTCCCAGAGAGCAGCCGTCCTCGTAATATGAGTAAGGAATGACCACTTTTGACAGACAAAAGCTGAAAATCATGATGCTTCGTCCAAACATTGAGGAATCTGAAAGGTCTGGGTCCCAAATCATAATTAGAAACCTACTGAAGTAGTAAAGGCAAATGATCAGATGAAGTCCGATTCAAGTGCCTCACTTTAAGCTGTCGACAAAACTCTGTAGCTGTAAAATTGATGAGTACCCTATCTAGTCTCTTTCTGACCCGACCAATAGTCCAAATACACCGATTTCCAAGGAAATTAGAGTCTTCCAAACCACATTCTAACATCATATTAGAGAAAGAAATAGTACATTGATCATAAGTATTACGACCAGTGCGCTCACCATCATGTGTAATAAAGTTAAAGTCTCCTCCAACTAACCAAGGATCGTCCATATCAAAGGAAATGTGGTGAAGACCTGCCCATAAATCCCTCCTGATAGCAGTATCAGATGATAGAGTCATATAAATGGGATGTGTTAGTTTAGGATTTTCAACTCTAACGTGAAGGAATTGGGGATGATCATAACAATAGTAACAGTGGTCCCCGTATTCCAAAAAAAACCAGATCTTATTGGACTCATTCTGAACTTCAATGTCAAAGTGCAGATATCGTCGAATGTAATTAAATCTATGCTGAAGTAGAAAATGTTCCAATATAACCAAAAGATAAACTTGGTGAAACTTTATAAGTCTTTTCAGGCGCCGACGGGTAGCTACACTAGATACATCTCTTACATTCCATATGATAGCACTCATAGAAACGAGGAATGTAAGGAGGTATCATGTGACTAACTCCTAGTGATCCTCCTACTCAGATGTAGAGTATTAGTATCCATTGGGTATTTTTTCATACAACACGAACGAAGCCGTCATCCTCTGTCCTCCCAGCCATACCAACCAAATTCTCAGTAGAGGACTTACGGAATATGCCTTACTGAGGAACCTAAATTTGTAATATGTTCTCCATATCTGACTATTCAGACTGTAGAGATGTGATATATGCCTCAACGTTCTGCTGGCAAATAGGAGACGCAGTAGTGGTAAAAGGTGTCTATGTCTGAGTTGAAGATGGACATGTAATTTGTGTAACTCTGATACCTTAAAACTCTGAGTCATCTAGTATCAGTGGTTCTCGAACCATAAAATCCACAAGGGGATCAAAATATGAAGTACGAGTGGCTTGTCCCTGAGGTGAATCCCCAATAGAAGCAATTGTATTAGAAATTGATGGTGATGAAGAACTAATCTGATTAGGCAAGGATGCCTTCATATTCTATTGACAGTGTGCTGGTACAACAGACATATCAGAACCAACAAATCCTTTTGACCTTTCTAACGTATCCACCAAAAGAGAATCATAGTATATAGAACTAATAATCATAAGGGCATTATTGATATAGTCCGAAAACTGAACTACTGGATAAGCAGCCAATGTGGTAACAAGACTCTGAGTATCCAACCTAATGGGAGCAACTGTAGAATGGTCTGATGGTAAAGAAGCAGTTGTCTATGGAGTAGTATTGCTAATGACATATGGAACAGTAGATAGAGTAGGAGCCACATGTGGCGCAACTGTCTATGATGAAGTAACTGTAGTGACTAGGACACTGAGGGCGATAGGGGGAGCAATCTGTGTATTAGCCTGAGTAGCTATACCTGGTGTACTGTCTTATCTATTATGATCTCTCTTGATCGGTGTCCACCTCTGGTGAGTCTCCATCACAATCTCCTTCTCCTTTCCTTTTCCTTTTCCTTTGACCAAAACAGGCCTAGAAGTAAGTTCTAGGAAAACAGGAGGTGGGACATAATATGAACCACTGAGCAACTCTCCTCAAAGTGTCCAAAGTGTCTACAATAAAAAGAGAATTTTGGTACCTCGTCATATACAACCGACTGCCAATAACCTCATCTCTTCTCTCTCTCAATCCACACTCTATCAGGGAGTTCACATTCCATATCAACATCAACAAAAACCCGTGCCTCACTTGGTCGTCAGAGATCAGAAGTTGCTTTGTCAGTACATAGCGGGAGCTCAATGGCCTTAGCTATTGCAAGCAATGCACTCTTAGCATGAAAATGAATATGAAGCAAAGGAAATGAGACCCAGATAGAAGCAATAGAAACTTCATGTGTTTGGGCTGAAACTGGGGGTCCATTTTATGATCATCATAGGACAACCATTAATATACCAAGTGGCTTTGAGGAACAACTGTGAATAGTCATCCTCGTGTGCCAAATGAATAATAATGTGTACATCATTAATAACTCCAATCTCATAATCACCAATAAATCAAAAGCGCGTAAAATTCTCGCTTACCTTGATCATAGAACGTTTTTGATGTACAAATTCACCTACAAGTGTAAATCTGCAGGCTTCAGCCAAAAACTGCTCATCTGACCCATAAAAAAATACAGCAGGCTCACCATGGTGATGGCTCCTTCGAGACCAAACTATGATGTTTGGAATCCTTTAGAGCTCTAAGAACATGGGCTAATGATTTACTTTGACTCCTTTCAGCCTAAGTAATAACAGGTTGACAATTGAGTATTGTAGCATAAGATTATAGTGCTTAAGCAACTCATGTAACTCCAGATGAGAGAACAGATGGCCTAGCTGAGAATGGAGCATTCAAAACACCAAGAGGAGGACGCGCGTAAAGGCCACGTGCCGGAAGACCAACGACGCGTTGTGGCAAAGGGAATCGAACCTATTTTAGACATTTTTGGTCTACTAAGTCCGAATCTATGGTCCAATTGACAATTTGGAGGTTGTATGATCAATTTTGAGAAGGACCCGTGGAGGAAGTTCAAAATTGGAAATGAGTTTCACCATGTTATTGATCGATGGTTGTGCCATTATAGGATCATTAGAAGGTCCAGAAACCATTTAGGGATACTATCTTCCGATGGGTATCACTCAAACAATTGAAATTTTGATTTGAAGGGAGCTCTACTGCCACAAGTTGGGGGTACAATTGGGGATCAATTGGCCTACAATACCTTCAATTGAATCAATACCCATGTCTGTAGTAGCCTCAATTGCATGCACATTGTTCGAATTTAGAGCATTAACAACCAAAACACCATCAACTGAAGCCTCAGTACCCATCGTGTTCATATTAGAGTGGTTTGAATTCAATCTATCAATTGAACTGTTAACTGGATCAATTAGTGGTTGATCCATTGTGGTATCATCACGAATTGATGATTGGAATGTAGAATTAATAGTTTGCATGGGCAAAAATTCATCAACTTTGTTAGGGTCAAATTTTCCACACAACTTACGAACTGCTTCCTTGAATTCGGCCAATTCTGGACAAAATTGTGGAAGACCCATAGGTTCACCATGATGAGAGGATGCTGAATGGAGTGTTTCATGATCATGGGGTCGACCTCCATCGCTGAAATATGCGTCTGAAACTTGTGTGCGGACTGTGTGTAAAAAGGTGGTTGCAATTGTTGATTGGGTGGTTGGGTAGACATTTAGGGACAATGTGTAGATACTCTAAGATGAGGGGAGTCCGCCAGTATGTTGGGTTTGGGTTGGGAGTTACCAGCAGTTTTGTGCTGTGCAAGCGATTGATTTTGATTTGAAATTTTGGTCGAATTCGCTGGAGTTCGGGTCGATTCTTAGGTAGGATATGTAGAGGGCAATGAGGGCTTCAAGGTGGTGATGGTCCGGTGGCCAAGGTGCCAGAAAGCTTTATTTTGGTCATCCATATGCCGTGGCTTGGGAGGTTTTTAAGATCGAGAGGAGAGTTTTTTTTCTATGCCAAATTCAATCTAGGAGTGATAGAAACCCTCAATCGAAGAATCACATAGACTCAAAGCACCCCAATTTCAAAATGGAAGCAGTAACTCAAGAACACTAAGAACACAATCAATTCATCAACATCATGGGATTGATTATCATATTTAGGGCTTAGAACAATACATTGTACCCTTTTGTACAAATGAAACAACCAGACCCAAACCTTAAAGATTGAACAATCACAGCTACTACAATGGAACTCATGATCAAACAACTGATCTCAACACAAAACCCTCAATCGAAGAATCATATAAACTCAAATCACATAGATTTAACAACAAAAACCAGAAGTTTTGATTAATACAAAGTAATCGAAAGAAAGAATGGAATAGACGACACAAAGAAAATCCTAGAAGCTCCATGCACAAGAACAAAATCAAAAAGTGAATAAGGGCGACTGTTAAAGCCCCTTAAATACACAAATCCATCACCGTAGATCTCAATCAATGATCAACGACCCAGAGCAACACACGTGTCCATCAAATGGGTCGGGTTTTTTGGCCTATTTCAAATGATTTATCAAGCAATGGCCAGAACCTATCCAGGAATAGGCTAGGACCAATTTCATCACAGCCCAGTGAACTGAATGCAATTAATATAATTGCATAACAGCCCATCAAATCATTCCATTGATGTCAATGATATAAACAAACCAAAACACTTCAGTTTTTTCATCACAAGCACCAAGAAGAAACACTCCTGCAAACACGAAGTTCATCCAGTATCAATTCTTAAAATTTACAAACAAGATTTAAATTTATTGAGAGGAAGTACCTTTGTTCCCATATCAACGGGATTAAATTGTGTTGGCATTTTTTTAAAACAATATAGACTCGTTTTGAATTATATCTCTAATGAAATACATCCTAACATCTATGTGTTTAATCATTTCATTAAAACTGGGTATTTACACAAATGAAATGAATGCAATTAATATAATTGGCATAACAGCCCATCAAACAGCCCATCAAATCATTCCATTGATGTTAATGATATAAACAAACCAAAACACTTCAGTTTTTCCATCACAAGCACCAAGAAGAAACACTCCTGCAAACACGAAGTTCATCCAGTATCAATTCTTAAAATTTACAAACAAGATTTAAATTTGTTGAGAGGAAGTACCTTTGTTCCCATATCAGCGGGATTAAATTGTGTTGGGATTTTTTTAAAACAATATGGACTCGTTTTGAATTATATCTTTAATGAAATACATCCTAACATCTATGTGTTTAATCATTTCATTAAAAACTGGGTATTTACACAAATGAATGGCACTTGGCTATCAAGAAAAAGAAACAATAGGATTATGCAATCATTCAATTTACACAACAAGCCTTTAAGCCATAAAGACTCTTTAATAGCTTTAGTAGCAGCCACATATTCAGCTTCAGTAGTAGATAAGGCCACAATAGACTGCAGTTGAGACTTCCAACTTATTCAAATATCACACAAAGTAAAGATATATGCAGTTATAGATTTCATATTATCATTATTACTAGTCAACAACCAATTGAACTAATTAACGGTTCCAATGTTGAATTAGATTCACACAGGCATGGTACTCGTGAAGGAGATTTCAGAGATTTAATTGACACTCATGTTGATGTTCTTGACCTAAATTCGACCAATATAACTGCAATTGAAGGTCATAAGCTTAAGGGTAACACCTCAATTGATAAAATTATTGATCAATCGAGTCCCAATTTCATCATTCATTGTCCAGTCAATGAGCCCCTTTCAATTCCAAATTTTGATAATATGGATTATATGCATGAAAAAACAAACCATTCACTGAATTCTACTACTACTAATGTATCTTCTCGGCCAATGCCTTTGATCAATGGCTTGACGAATCTCACCGTCAATTTTGAACCATCATCACAGGTCAAGCTCAAAACGGATTTTAATGCTTCAATTCTCACAAATTCTAATCGAAATCGACCTTAGCAAGTTCCAAATATGGGAAATAGATCAGATCAGTCACCGATGATGACTCAGGTACCGTCCCATATGCTACCGGACCATCAGCGGGTGGCTCTTACGCACGGCCCCCTTCAGGCAATTTCATAATTCTGAACTCATCTAGCCAACCTATTACCTCTTCTGGTGCTCCAGTTAATATTCAGGCTCCACGATTTTATGCTGTAGCTATCAATGACAAACCAATTGTTACTCAGGCTAAAATGAGTCAAAGGAAATCTTTTGCTATTGTGCTTCGAGCTCCTCAGATACTAGAGATCACAGTTTGGTTTCTAAGGAACCGTACATCCATCATGGTGAGCCTGCGATCTTTTTTGATGAGTCGGATGAACAATATTTGGCAGAGGCATACATGTTTATCCTTGTTGGTAAATTTGTCCATCATAAACCTTCTATGATCAAGGTACGCAAAAATTTTATACGCTTTGATTTTATTGGTGATTATGAGATTGGCATGATTGATGATGCACACATTATCATTCATATGGTCCACGAGGATGATTATTCACGATTATTCCTCAAACCAACTTGGTACATTGATGGTTGTCCTGTTCAGGTCTTTAAGTGGACCCCCTGTTTTAGTCCTAAGCATGAAGCTCCTATTACTCCAGTGTGGGTATCATTTCCTTTGCTTCCTATTCATTTTCGAGCTAAGAGTGCATTATTTGCCATCGCTAAGGTTATTGGGCTTCCACTTCGTATTGATAAAGCTACTTCTGATCTTCGACGACCAAGTGAGGCATGAGTTTATATTGAGGTTGATCTGGAGTGTAAACTCCTTGACAGAGTGTTGATAGAGAGGGAGAAGATGGAAGGATAGTGGCAGCATGTTGTATACGATAAGGTGCCAGACTTTTGCTTTCGATGTAGACACTTTGGACATTCTGATGAGAGCTGTTCTAGTGGTCTCCATACTGTACCACCTTCTGTGGCCCCTTTTGTAGTTGATCAGACTTCTAGGTCTGTTCAGGCTAAGGATAAGGATAAAGTAAAGGAGGTTGGGATTGTGCCTCGCCAGAGATGGACGCCGATTAAGCATAATCAGAAGAAACATGACAATACATCAAATGTGATTTCTCATTCTACTTCTCAAAGTGTTACCACTATTTCTCCTACTATCATTGCCGCTACAGTTACTACATCACAGATAGCTGCTAGTCATATGGATCCTAGCCTTCAATTTTATGCTTCTAATAAAAACTTAGCAATATATTCAATTGGAAAACGTGACATGTGGTAAGTTAATTCACTTTATTATTTTTAGGGAAAATTGCAACTACGGTACCAAACATTTCATCTTTATGCAGACTTTGTCCAAATCTTTAAAAAATAGCAACTTCAGTCCAAATTGACAGAAGTTATTAGTTGACCAAAAATCAAAGGTCTGACCAATTGTTGACTAATTTTTAAAGTACAAATGGGTAATTTTACATTTTTAATATAAAAAAATTAAAATAAAAGAATTTTAAAAAACCCCAATCACCCGCCCCCAACCAAACCAAACCAAAAACCAGTTCAATATTTGCTGATAAAATCAAAAATTTGAATCCTGCTGACTTCCTCATCGTCGTCGGAAGCTTCACCTGAATCTCATCGTTCACCGCACATTCATTCCTATCACCCAACCAAGCCAGTGCCGACCTCATGATCACATACCCATCAGAATCCACCTCCAGCTGCCCGTCCAAAAACTTGGTTGCCAGCTCATGTCCAATCGCAAAAAAGAACTCATAAACATTAAAATCAGTAACCTCCCCACTCATCATATTATTTTCCTTCAAACCCCCTAAAGATCTCTCCTCATATGCCTCAGTCACCTTGGAATTCCACAAGACTTCAATCTTTGGGTTTGACAAAGCTCTGCACTGCATAATTTTCGAAGCCCTAAATTCATCTCTTCAGTAGATAATGTAAACCTTAGAAACAAGGAAGTGGAGGAGGTTGGCGACTAATTTCTATTTAGAGACGGTTTCATTGAAGATTTCGATTTTGAACCGAACTGATTAAGTGCGAAATCGATCCATGATCTCTATCCAGCCGATCACATCAGGGAAACAGGCGACGAAGATTGGTGGTGAAGGAGGATGTGGTGGTGCCAGCATTTTGGGGGTTTTAGTTTTAGGTGGGGTGGGGTTTTTTTGATTTTGATTTAATTATTTTGTTTTTGTTTTTTTTAAATGAAAAAAAGTTAACATTTTGCCCTTTAAAAATGAATCAAAATTGGTTAGATCTTTGATATTTGGTCAACTAATAGAAAAATTAATGGTTTCTGTCAGTTTGGACTTGAGTTACGATTTTTTTAAAGGTTTGGTACTTCTGGTGGCACAAATGAAAGGTTTAGACAAAATCTACATAAAAGAGAAAGGTTTGATACCGTGGCTGCAATTTTTTCTTATTTTTATGATTTTTGTTAAAGTTGTGAGAGTTAAAGACTTGTGAATTAAAACAACATTTGAAGTCAATTCACAACCTACATCCAAAGAAATATATAAGAAAAAATAAAAAGAAAAATGTATGATTTCTCATTTAACATTCTCAATATTAATCTTCAAGCGATGATTATTTCTTTATAAAACATGTTTGAATTATTATTATTATTATTATTATTATTATTATTATTATTATTATTATTATTATTATTATTATTATTATTAACTATTTGCTAACAACCCATAATTATCTTGACTCAACTACAAGAACAAACACCAAAACACCTAAAGATCAAACACCAACAAAATCATTTACCAAATAGCCTTCAGAGTTCTGAAGATCTGGAGACATGATTTGAGTTCTAGTTTGTGAAGAATGAGTTCGTTCTTTGTGATCCACGAGGGGGGAAAAGTCTAGAGATTCTGGAGCTGGTACTGGAGTGCACAATCGAAAAGTTCTATGGTGATTACAAGTTGGAGGTTAAAGTCTACTAAGGTTTAGCTGTGTTTGGACTAATTATGTAAGTCAAATCTTTTCTAGTGGATATTTTACTGATAAGAGTGCCTGACAGTTTTTTTTATCTATTGAAGAGTTCTTCAAGGGGTTTTCTTTCGTATACAAATCTCAATGTTAACTTATTTTACTGCTTTAATCTGTATGCTTGATTGACAGCTAGAGTTTAATTTGAAAAAACTTCATCTAGATACAATAATTTGTGACTTGTTGCATATTATTGTTTGTTTATTTTAATTCTGCGTATTATACTTATTCACATCCCTCTAGATGTTAGTTGGGTTGAACCTCGTTATTTTCAATTGGTATTAGAGTCTTAGTTCGATTCTTGACCCAATTTTATCTAGATGAGTCAATACATATCTGTTTTCCCTTACTTTGATGTGAGCAATTAAGCTTATTGAAAGGTTAGGATGAAAACATTTTTGAAATATATTGATGAGAAAGTTAAGGTAAGTATAGAGAAGGGATGGACAATCCCATCTACATCTGTTGTTGGTGTTGTTACACCTACAAAGTTTTCAACTTGGAATAAGGATGAATTACCTGAGTGTCATTTGAGTAGTAAAGGAATATATGCCATTCTTTATGGCTATATCATCAGAAGAGTTTAAACGAGTATATGTATGAAACTGTTAAAGAAGCTTGGGACACTCTAAAAATCTCACATTAGGGAACTAAAATAATGAAATACTCTAAGTTACAAATGTTGACCACTAGGTTTGAGGAACTTAGAATGAAATATAATGAATCCTTTGATGAGTTTTATGTTAAACAGAATAACATAATGAATTCTAGTTTCAACCTAAGTAAACGAATTTTCGAGACAAAAATTGTAAGAAAATTTTTAAGATCTCTATCTAAAAGGTTTGGACCTAAAGTTACAACGATTGATGAAAGCAAAGACCTAGATCAGGATAGAATAGAAGAACTTGAAGGTTCCCTCCAAACATACGAACTTAGCCTACCCTACTCTAAGAAAAAAAGTCTTTAGCCCTCAACACTTTTAAGGAAGAGACTAGTGATAAGATTGATAATGACACTTTAAAAGATGAAGAGGTTGCTTACTTTATTAAGAACCTCAAAAAACCTATTTATAAACAATAAGAGACCTTTTGAGAAGTTTAAGGGTGATTCTAATAAACACCGAAATGAGAAAAGAGAGAAAAGGGATACTAAGGATACAAAGAAGAGATCCTAATTTATTAGGTGTCATAGGTGTGGGGTTTAGAGATGAGTGCCCAAGTTATAAGAAAACCCTAGGTAAGGCTATGAATATCACTCTCACTGATGATGAATCCAACTTCGATAATCAACGTGAGAATTCCAATTCTGATGAGGGTTTGAACTACATAGCATTTTTTTTTCTAGTTACGAGTGAACATGTGGAGGACGAAGAGAAAGTTGAGCACATAGAGCAACCTGGCTCTTCACGAGAAGAGTCAGTAGATAAATGTGATATCTAAGAGGCAAATGACCAATTGTTTGAGAAGAGTCTTAAATTGAAAAAGTTAAATAGGTCCACCCTCAAGAAACTGTGTGATCTTAAGTAAAGAATAAGATACTAGTGGTCAAAGTCAACTAGTTGTGTGAATAAGTTGAAGATTGAGACGAAGTTCCTAAAAATAAGGTTACGACTCTCGTGGGTGATCTTGAGAAATCTAATGCACAACTCCACTATTTTTAAGTGGATTTAAGAAGCTTGACAACATCTCAGGATTGAACAAACATGCCGCAAGCTCTTGGTTAAGAACAACAAATAGGACATCACTACTTATGTTAGGTTTTTAACTAATCAAGTCAATCACTTGACTGAAATGATGAGTTACTTAACTAAGATAACCTCTTCTTTTAGGAAGGTTTGTATAAAAAGAGTGAACTCATAGGGTAAAGCGATGAATTGAATTGTGATGTTGCTCACATTACTCTTAAAGGTAAGAGTGTCTATGTACCACCTTGAGTAGGTCTAAAGGGGTATGCATTTGCAAGTCCATTGTTCATACATGCACTTTAATTCTCTCATTTTTTGCATTATCTTTTTAAGAAAGGAAAAAAAGGTTTTTATGTTACAACACTTTGAAGTGATATCATAACATGTTCTTTTATGACTAAGTATTAGCAAAATGAATGAACTTGACTAAAGTTTCCATTAACTTATCATCTACACTGCATAAACTAAACTCTTGTGAGTGAGTCCTGATCGCGTATATGAGATTTGGGATGGAAATCATCTATGTAATAGGGTTACCTTGAATATGAATTGACATTTAACTAGCTGACCTAAACACTAGTATATTTTTCATAAAGAAATTGCAATGAGCTTCAAAATATTTGAACCCCATGTCAACAGAAAAAGAAATATATCTTATACTTCTCTTCGTGACCTTTATGATCGAGTGATTAAACATGATATGCTATTTAAAATCTAGTGTCTTGTAATCATCTGACTTAAGAACCATCAGCATACTCACTAAAATGATTATTTAGCAAGTTTAATGGAAGAAAGTCCACATGCAAGATGAAAAAGAGAGAGAGAGAGAGAGAGAAGAAAAAAAAAAAGTATATGTATATATTCTCACAGATAGGGGGAGAAAAAATAAGCTATACAAAAATTAAATATGAGCTATATTTGTTTAAAAGGTCCTAGTAGCACGGGGGTTTTGACTTTCATTATTTGAGGAAAATCTTGATTCTCCAGTATTTTCTTACGCGTGTCCTTCCTCACAAAATTAAGATTTTGAGTCTTGTTCATAAGATATTGGTGGTACTTTTCACACATAGGTCTCTTATACATTGTACTCCATATAAGTTTAAAATAAGTTGCGTGGAAAGATTTCATTGTTCTTGAATTGTATTGGTATAAGTGATCAAATGTTTTGATGTGCTATCACGTGATTTGTTTTTTCATGTAATGATGTTAAATTTAAAAATTCATGACATTGTGTTCCATTTAAAAATCCATGAAAAAGTGCTATCTTTAATGAAGAAAAAAAAAATCATCATTCTCTCATTACATATGCTCCTTGGTTCTTCAATCAACATGTGCGTGAATATTGCATTCAAACTGTTGCTAGTTCGTTAACTTGACTAGCTAGATTACTCCCTTAGTTATTATTGACAAAAAGGGGGTGTGATAGTATATTTATTTCAAGGGGCTAGTAGTATTGATTTAGGGGGAGCGGTAGTTGAGTATTTTGATATTTGACTAGCAAACATTTGGGATTTTAATATTAATAATGATATTGTGTTTTGTGCTTTATATAATATTGATATCATATTTAGATGTTTCACCTATTTTGATGTTATATTTAGATGTTAAGTTATTGATGCACGTGGTATTACATGTGTTTACTTGCGTTGTATATATAACTTAGTTAGGTACTTTATTTACTTTGTTATTAGTTTTCTCATGCTTTTACACTAGGTATTGTTTGAGTTGTTATGTTTCAAGAAACATATGACAAGCAATTGAGATGCAGTTTTGGGTTTGAGTCTTTGGGTTGATAAGAATTAGGTTGTGGTCAATGTTTAATTTTGAAATAAATGGTTTTTTTTTTTTATGAAATGTTAAGGGGAGTTTGTTAGATCTAAAGAGTTGGCATGTTCCACGTCCAGAATATCATTTAATCGAGTTGCAATTAAGGTTAAGTTGTCAGGGGATTAGGATTGTGTTTTGAATGAATCAAAGATGGCTCAAAAATATCAAGAACATGTTTAAAATGTTCGTTGACTGCTGCAGACCGCTCAAGTGATTTTAGCAAAGAAAGATCACTCGAGCAATCGTATTACGTATCGAAACCCTAATTCACGATTTTCTCGTTTTTATAATCCCAAACAACATCAAACACTCTATATTATAAATACTCAAGGCATATTTGTCCAAAACGTGTATTGAGCCTATTTTCATTTAAAAGAACACTTTATGACG